CTTACTATACTACACTGATTCATCCCTTACTATACTACACTGATTCATCTCTTACTATACTACACTGATTCATCTCTTACTATACTACACTGATCCATCTCTTACTATACTACTATTACTACACTGATTCATCTCTTCTCCAAACACCAATCTGTGTAATATGTGGTGGCAAGTTATCAAATGCTTCCAATATTAAATTGTGAAATAATATCATTAATGTGCTTAAATGTTGCACAATAATACAAAACAATCCATGATACCTGTACGGTCTTCAGCTGCTGGGCCTGTAATGTGGTCAACTGGTTCCCAACACTCCCCATCACCGGCTTCAGCTCCGACCTCCCACCAATAGTCACCACTTTAAACTGCGTCGCTTGAGTTTTGTTGTCTCCTAAAGTCTGTGAAATGCCCGGCTTGCCGCCTGTGTGTGGTAACTGCAACACTATCGGTTGCCCCGACTTTCCTATGGTTGTAACTAAAAGTTTTTGTCCTTCCTGCTTGATGACCTGGGGCGAGTTACCGGCAGACCTTGCTGCTTCTGTGGCTTGAGCTGAGGCCACCTTGTTGAGAATGATCTGGTGGTTAGCGGCAGAGATGGTAAACGGAGCCGTGAGCCTCTGTAACCCACTCGTAGAGATACTAGTCCCGGTCAAACTATCTGTAGTTTTGGTAGCGGCTACGGAAGTAGCCATGGCTGGTTTGAAGGTGAGAAGGGATGACGATGAGCTGGAAATTGAGATAGGAAGCTGACTCCCGGAGCTGATGCTGAGTGTGGCGTTTGTGGTGGTGGAGAGAGCCTTAGTGTGTTCTGCCGAAGTGGCATTTGAACAGAGGCTCAAGTGTTCTGAAGCCATGGGCGTATCCGTTTCCATCGGGACCGGCGTGTCATCGCTGGGCTCTGACTGGACCACGCTGCCTCCTGGTTGGGGGTGAGGGATGTCCTCTATGGCCTCAGTATCCATGATCTCATCAGGAAGGAGGCTGTTGAGCTCTGGCGACACCACATCCATGATTGCAAAGTCTCAGCTCTCTGTCAATCACAAGAGATCAATGAAATAATTATGTGTCAAGGTTTTATTTTCAACTGAACACAAATTGTTGATAAATACATTGGAAGCTCTAGAAAACATAGTATTATTATTTTTGAATCATGTAAATGCACTTATTTTAACCAGATTTGGAAGAAATATGCATTTCCTGCACTAAATGGATCGTGGTGCCTGATGCACACAATGTGTCACAGACAATATGTATATTTTACATACAGTTCATGCATTTAATTGCAATAAACAAAAATTAGTTATTCATTTCTGGTGTATTGCTCTCAATTTGCTCTACATAACTAATAAATATGCATAACTGGACAATGGCTATTGCAAAAGGCTTTGCAAGAAAAATAAACAAACAAGGCAGTGAAAGCAGTATTCACATTTTTTAAAAAGCCCATTTTTGATAACTTTATGCAGGTACCTGTATATAAATTAATCAGTAATCACTTGATATTTAATCAACGAGTCACATTTTTGAATGACAGCTGATGCTGGGTTAGCTAGGCCGCAGCCATCATCTTTGTCCTGCTGCACTCTGCTCAACAATAATCCACCGAAACACACACACAAACCCTACCCACCCCACACACACACACACACAACACACACACACACACACAGACACAGCTAACTGCTCGTGACCCGGATGAAAGCTACCAAAAGAAACTGGGTTGTTTTGTTTGACATAAACCAGAAGTGATCCCAGTTGGGTCAAAGAGTGAGAAGAAGAAGAAAAAAACCCCGACAAGCTGTTTGCTGGCTGCGTTACTATTTCAGGCCGGGGTTGGATTTCGAAAGATCCGCCATTTTTACCTCGTCATCAACTCTGTTAGCTCTCCGGCTAACACTGAGCACTGAATGCTAATTTATATTACTTCCTCTAAGCACTTACCCACAACGAAACAGTAAAGCTAGCGTGCATTGAAGCTAAAATAAATACTTGATGGTAACAGTGGGCTACTAGCAAGAAACTAACTCTTAAAGCAGACTCTGTAAACAATGCTAGCTTTCAATAATTCCTCCTGTCACTTGAGACATCCATCTGGATGATAACATTTAAGGTCCAACAATGCACTTAACACACACCTATATAGGTTATATACCTAACGGTATGTGTAGGGTATGTTTATGTGTATACTGGTAAAGGTAGCATAGCCTAATCAGTCATAAATGACATTTAAGTCGAAATAAACTTACCAGATCCGCTTCTAAAAAAACAGAAACGACGGATTCAATATGAGGTTTATGGAAACAACTAAAGGCATAAAGCAGCTACCGTTAACGTGTGCTATCGTGATGTTTTGACAGCACACACCAGAAGGAAAAGACACAAGTCGCTTTAAAACAACTCTAAATACGCGTTTCAGCTAGTATCTGGAACTTATTAAGCATAACATTAGCCCCATATTGTCTTTAAATTGTCTGTTAATTCAAGCCGAATGTTCTGTCAGCATGCATACTTCAGTAATAAGTCAGTACCAGAGAATATCCATGTATATGCGCTCTTTATTTCTGTGTGACCATCGTAATCATCCTCATTATGAGGGACAACTGTACTAGCAAACTTGGCTGAGCGTGCTAACACCTAAGCTAGCTAGCTAGCACAACATTATGTCTCAACATTCAACACACTCGTTAAAAAAGTGTTGCGGCCCTTCTGCTGTGAACGCGGTGAAGAGAACCGTAGGAGTGGGTCAACGATCAGTCGCGCTTACCCGGAGATTTGTGTACGCTGGGCAACGTTTCCAGTTAAAACGAGGAAAAAGAAAAAAGGCGATTGTTCAAAATACCGCGCCGAGCGCCATTCCTCCCTGACATTTCACAAGTAGGCCACGCCCTCCGCGTTCTACGTTACTGCTACGTCATCCATAAAGGCGCAACACAACTTAATCGACAATTTTGTATTTTGTTGTTTTTTAGTTTATAATATCCTATTATTTTATAGAGTTTTTGTTAATACGAATTAATAAAATAAATAATCTTTTTTTTTTATTTAAAAGAAAGAAAAAAAAATAAAAGAAAAAATAAAATCCACCCATAAAAAAAAAAAAAGTTATTTAAATTTTTTTTGTGATCTTTAAAAAACAACAGATTATTTATTTATTTTTTACTTTTTTTGGCGAACTTTTTTTTCTTAAAAAGTACTTTTTTCCACCAACATAAAAAAAAAAAATGTTTTTGGTGCATCCATCTGTAACCATAACACTGACCAGATGTTTCCAGTTGCTATAGAAAGTCTAAATGACGAGCCATAGAAGCAGCTCTTCATAGGTTAGAAGAAGAAACATTCCTTTATTAGTCCCACAGCGGGGAAATTATTCTCTGCATTCGACCCATCCCTGTATTTGACCCATCCCTGTATGTACTGTACAGTGTCTTGCTCAGGGACACTTCGACACAGGACACGGTGCAGCCGAGGATCGAACCAGTGACCGGTTGGCGGACAACCCTCTCTACCCAGTAAGCCACGGTCGCCCTCGTTACCCTACATTTGACATATAAATGGATTGTGAGTACATTGAAGACTTCTTTAAACGTGGCTTTACAATAGATGGAATACTTAAATTGCTTGATGTTTCACATGGATTGTACTGAGCAAAAGCACCCTTGAATATAATTTTAAGCAAGAAGCAGCTCTGGAGTATAAAGAATAAAACCAATGTGGCTGAGGTGAAGACCTTCAATAAACAGCAACTGGAAAAAAATAATTTAATCTTTTTTTTTTTCGGGGGGGGGGGGGTTGTTTTTTTGTTTTTTTGGCTGCGGAAGTGGGTTTACATAGCTTCCATAGATTTTGCATGTGCAGGACTTTTACGTCTCTTCTTCGTCTCTGCCGGTTGCTCGGTGTCGGTTGGAGGACCGGGGTCGCTCTGCCGGACACAGACCGGAAGTCTTGCTCCGCTCTTGGCAGAGGAAGCCGCTGTCGTTGGCACTTCCACAGGCGACAATGGCGACCGATGTGAGGCAGGAGCTTGCACAGCTGATTAATTCAACCGGATCTCATAAAGATCTTGCAGCCAAGTACGTATCGCCAATTATAACATGAACATATTACTTGGTAATAGTCGCCATATGCTTTAGAAAGTCAGCACTGCAGTAACCGTTAGCTAGCAATGGAGCTAGCTAAGCTAACGTTAGCTACCCAGCTACATTAGCTATACATTCAGCTAGCTAGGTAAACTTTAAATGTTTGTAGCTGTCTGTCAAAGCACTTTATTTTACAGATTCTCATTTAACTGATAACAGCACGTTCAAGCGAGATAAAAGCGGCGAATGTAACACTGACATTACTTTTATATTTAATCATATTAGCATCCAGCAGCTACTGTTTACTAGCTACACAGTTAGCTAGTACTGGGCACAGCTTAGCTTTAAAATAGTATAAACTTTAAAAGCTGCACAGGCTTAAATTTGACAGGAAATGTACAAATGCTCCAAACTTCTGCTTCACAGAATCGTTTGTTCTTTAAATGTCCCTTTTCATTTTATGTTAATAACAGACCAACACATTTTGAGCACTAAATAATGTACTTTTAAGCATATATTATTTAGACTAATGTGTGTTTTTATATTACATTTTTACAATCTCAGTCTGTTAAATATCTATTTATCAGTTGCATTGACCTCTAAACAAACAGTGTTGTATTTCTAACCTGTAACAATCTTTCCTAGATATCGACAAATTTTGGAGAAGGCCATTCAGTTTACAGATGCAGAGCAGCTGGAGTCCTTGAAGGCCTTTGTTGAAGCAAGTATGCAGAGCCAGTTTTCTTTTACGTCAACATTTCTCTACAAGCTCAGTGGTACATTTGGATGCCAACAGGATATCTTACCTCATTATTTCTATCTTTTTTTTTTTTTTTTTTTTTTTTTATACAGTGGTCAATGAAAATGTCAGTCTTGTCATCTCGAGACAGCTGCTCACAGATTTCTGCACACATCTGCCCAACCTGCCCGACGCCACAGCTAAAGCAGTGTACCACTTCACCTTGGAGAAGATTCAGCCCAGAGTCATCTCCTTCGAGGAACAGGTAAATGCACTCACGCTCTCTTGTAACTCTCCCGGGTATTTGTTGTTGAGAATTACATAAATTAAACATTGGTATTCTTATTGAAATGCATAATTAAATGATGTTCTTACACGTCCTCAGGTAGCCTCAATCAGACAGCACTTAGCAACCATTTATGAAAAGGAGGGAGACTGGAGGAATGCTGCACAGGTTTTAGTTGGTATTCCTCTGGAAACGGGACAGAAGTAAGCAAGCTACTAGCAGATTTATTTCCATAACTTTAATGTTTGTGAGATGTCCAGGTCTTTAAATACCTTTTTTATTTGCTCCCTTAGGCAATACAATGTTGACTATAAGTTGGATACGTACCTGAAAATCGCCCGTCTCTACTTAGAGGATGATGATCCAGTGCAGGCGGAGGCTTACATCAACAGAGCCTCATTGCTTCAGAATGAGTCCTCTAATGAACAGCTGCAGATACACTATAAGGTACACCGGTTGTGTCTGCATTTCTGTCACTTAGTGCTTAAATTAAACATTATAGGGACTTTGCAGTAAACCGTGACTGTAGTTGCTTGGATCAGTGTTTCATGCTGTTTTACTTCTTAGGTGTGCTATGCCAGAGTCCTAGACTTCAGGAGGAAGTTCATTGAAGCTGCACAAAGATACAACGAGCTGTCTTATAAGTCCATTGTCCATGAGACCGAACGTCTGGAGGCTCTAAAACATGCCCTAAACTGCACCATACTGGCTTCTGCAGGTACCACAAAGACTCATGTGCTTAGGTTAATACGTTTCACAGATTATCTAAATTACAAACTTTGTGTCTCGTACCAGAAATATACAATTTTCTTCGTTCTTTTAGGCCAGCAGCGGTCCCGTATGTTGGCCACTCTCTTTAAGGATGAGCGCTGTCAGCAGCTGGCTGCCTACGGCATTCTGGAGAAGATGTACCTGGACCGAATCATCAGAGGAAACCAGCTGCAGGAGTTTGCTGCCATGCTGATGCCTCACCAGAAAGCCACCACAGCGGATGGTGAGAGGAGATGTTTGGCTTTACAACATGTCTTCTTCAACTGATAGCTGTTATATTTATATGCATTACTTTTTAGTGCCATCCAGTGTGCTGTGTCTAGAAAAACTACAGTACTTCACTGGATTTAATGTACCATTTAAGCACATGATGATGAGGATGTTTTATGCTGTTTCGCTCATTGTAGATGCATATATACTGTCAGTGAATGTTGCAGCTAGGTGCACAGATTGAGCTTTTAGAAGCTAAATGTTTGTGACATGTTTTATTATTTTAAATGCTGAGGATGAAGTATTGTGACACTTATTTTACTGACTTATCGTGACAATCTCTGCTAACCAGCCTACACAAACCGTAGTGATTAAAGTGCAGCACCTGTTTTTCATTAAAAACCCACCATGCACCTGTGAGAACATGTAGCTGCCTGTAGGGTGCAGTCTGGGACTGAGCAGAGGGCTGGAAACAGTTCAACTGGAACTGTTCATGTTGCAGTTTCAGTTGAATGTTGAAGCATATTGGGACTGGATTTATGTCTCTGGGGAAGGTGGGGTGATTTTAACAAACACCTGTTCCGTCAGTGATTTTAATCACGTTCGTAGCAGGTATTTGCGTAATTTGTTACATCCTCCCCAGTAATCATTTCCGCCACATTTACTGAGTGTTTTCCAGTAAACTGGCCGGTCCTCTTGTAATTTAAATCCTGTCCGGAGTGACATCCTTGTATTTTAAAGAGGATCTCTGAGGTGTTTTCCCGCTGCTTGCCCTTATTATTTTCTATTTTCAAATCAGCTCATTTTGAAATTAAAATGAAACTGTTTTGGCTAATCTGATAGATGGAAACACCAATATATCCGCTATATTGGAAACTAATATGACAACAGAAAAAATGAAAGATATCAGAAGAGCAAGAGCTCATCAGATGTGCTGTTGGTACTGCTTTTCTCTTTTAAGTCTATATTTATTTCATTTTGTCGAATTGGCAACATTAAAAGTATGCAGAATTAGTTATTCGCAGTCCCTGTTTGCAATGTTCTCATCGCTGTACACACAACTATCACTGCATTACTTTGATACTGAAGAAAACTTCAAATATGTTTATTATCAGGCAAGTTATTCAGATGTTTTTTCCTCTGATGTCTGATTAGCTTTATGGACATCAGAGACAATGTTATCGTGGTTGAGTGTAAATCAAGCTGAATGATATCAACGCATGTTTCAATGTGACCCCTCAGCTTGTGAGGTTTTTCTTACAGGCTCCAGTATCCTCGACAGAGCTGTGATCGAACACAACCTACTGTCCGCTAGCAAACTCTACAACAACATCACGTTTGAAGAACTAGGAGCACTTTTAGAAATCCCCCCAGCAAAGGTGGGACGTCCCCACGATTCATATCTTTTGTTATTCTTGTTTTTAGTCTTTTTGAAAAAAAATATTTTTCTACTCTTATTAAATATCATTTTTACTTGACAAATATAATTTGTGTAGCTGTTTATTTTCCATGATGCATCCTGAGATGTTTTGCTCGCTTTGTTTGTCTTCAGGCCGAGAAAATAGCGTCTCAGATGATCACTGAAGGACGCATGAACGGCTTCATCGACCAGATCGACAGCATCGTACACTTTGAGAGTGAGTGCACCGGCAGCGTGTTCTCACACTTCAGAGGGGGTACTTCCCCGTTTGTGTTTGTGCACCAAAGTCCAGTATTCTTTTATTGGAAGTGACAGTTTTAATTAACAGGAACGTAAACATAATATTGTAAGGCTGTACCTGATATCTTTTAACATTTAAAGCTTTGGTTGTATTCAAATAAAACTTCAAATCATTGCCTTAAAAAAAGGCCTTTTGGTCTTTTTAAAAATACAATCAACATAGATACGAGTCGGTGCTACTGAGGAGCTAAGATGATAAAAAGGTAACAAAGAGGAAAGCAAATACAAGACCGTAAACCTGAATTTATTGTCTATCCGCTGGATAGAGACAATAGACCGTACCTTGAAAGATCATTAGAGAAATACATTAATATTTATACCAGTTGTCTGTGTCCAGCGAGGTGCAGCCTGTTCACACAGGACTGAAGCGCCTTCCCTGCTTTTAAACATGTACATTTGTTGTTAAAACGTCATGAAATCCAAAGTATTTGATCCCTTTTATTTGTTTTTTTTACCTCCGGCAGCCCGTGAAGCCCTCCCTACCTGGGACAAACAGATCCAGTCTCTGTGTTTCCAGGTCAACAACCTCCTAGAAAAGATCCGTTCGGCTGCTCCGGAGTGGGCCGCTCAGGCTATGGAAACCCAGATGACCCAGTAAAC